TCTTATGGTTCCAAATGAATTTTTGGATTCTTTTTTCTAGTTCTGTGAAATATAGTGCTGGAATTTCAATTGGCATTGCATTGAATGTATTTAGCAGTTTTGGTAGTATGGCCATTTTCACTATGTTGATTCTTCCTATCCAGGAGCAGGGGATATCTTTCCATTTTTTAATATCCTCTTCAATTTCTTTTTTCAGAGTGCTGTAGTTTTCAGTATAGAGATCTTTTACTTCTTTTGTTAGATTGATTCCTAGATACTTAATTTTTTTGGATGCTATTATAAGAGGAATTTTTTCCCATCTGTTATTTGTGTATAAGAAGGCTATGATTTTTGGGTGTTCACCTTGTATCCACATACTCTACTGAATCTGTCAATTAAGTCTAGAAGTCTTTTGGTGGAGTTTTTTGGGTCTTATGTAGAGTATTTTGTTAGATTGATTCCTAGATACTTAATTTTTTTGGATGCTATTGTAAAAGGAATTTTTTCCCATCTGTTATTTGTGTATAAGAAGGCTATGATTTTTGGGTGTTCACCTTGTATCCACATACTCTACTGAATCTGTCAATTAAGTCTAGAAGTCTTTTGGTGGAGTTTTTTGGGTCTTCAATGTAGAGTATCATATCATCAGCAAATAATGACAGTTTAACTTGTTCCTTTCCTATCTTTATTGCTTTAATTTCTTTCTCTTGTCTAATTGCTGTGGCTAATGTTTCCAGAATTATATTGAAGAGGAGTGGTGATACTGGGCATCCTTGTCTTGTTCCTGATTTTAACATGAAGGTTTTCAGTTTCTGGCCATTTAATATGATGTTCGCTGTTGGTTTTTCATAGATAGCCTTTATTAAGTTGAGGTATAGACCATCTATTCCAATTTTTTGCAGGGTTTTTTTTAATCATGAATGGGTGTTGAATTTTATCAAATGTCAAAGCACTTTTATTTGGCCAGGTAATTCTGCTTTTCTCTGCTAAATCAACTCTTTTGCTTTGGCCTAGGAGGCTTCGTATAACAAGAAAATAAAGATATATAAAGCTCTCCAGGATAGTGTTAAATTTGTGGAGAAATCTGAAGCTATGCCCCAAATCACATTTGTAATTCTGTGCCCTGGCACACTTTCTTCTCACTGCTAAGGGTTCCCAAAGTGTTGAATGGAACACTGACCATTGATGATTCCCTTCCCTACCTCCTTTCCTATATAGGATGCAGAAAGTTAATGTCTTAACCACCCCTCTCCTTTTAACTCAACATATGAGTAGTTTTTTTTGCGGGGGGTGAGAATGAATTAATGGAATATTTTTACAAATGAAAAAAGAATTAAAATTTTTACTTT